GATCAGCTTTTAGACTTTTTCATTTAGCTGCCCTTGTGACTCTCTTGTGAAATCCATTTTAATTACAGACAATCTTATTTTCCGACTGATCGGGACTTCTCGGTCTACGGATTGATTGATGCTCCACGAGTTTTGTACCGTATACCCCACTTGGGACTGCTCTGAAGAATTGATTGAAATAATCCGGTCCGTTTTACCATTGCACTACTCCATACTGGAGCTGACTTCCAGCATCCAGTACGTTTGTCAATATTATTTTTGCCACGTACGACCAGACTCTGAAGTGAATTTCGTCAACTACTATTATAAGATTTACTGGTGATTCGTTCTCCTTCTCCTCTGATAAATTTCTCCTGCGCCATTCCTGCTTATCCTCGGCTGTGTGTGGTGATTAAAACACCGTTATTTTACAGGATCTTTGAAGCGGACAAGTAAGGTCGAGTGACCCAGTTTAACAAATCTATTACGCCCAACCTATTATGCCTAAGCTAATAAAAGGAAATGACACGCGGACTCGCGTCACCGCCACACCGTCAGCGTTGTTCTCCGTTAATTCAATTTGCTCAACTATTGTTCGTCCTTGATCTCAATTCAAGAATTAGCCGAGACAATAAAACGTTGTTTAAGCTGGTTCTCTTTTGAATAAAGTCGCTAATATTTTGTTAACCGCCAGAGATGTTTCATTAGGAATAATTTGTATGTTCATGTTATGCTTTGGTGAATTTAACGCGAACCGTCCTTTTTATCTTTCAGACATTTTGATCTTAGTAAAGTGCAGTCGTTATACGCATTGAACCATACAGTGTGCGTTTCCTTAGGGTCAGCACACACGTGAGGTGTGGAGCGAGCGTGTTCCTCGTGAGAACTCCCAACGTACATTTTGTCTCGTGTGTCGGTGGTTGAAACAATTAGTTTTCTGCATTAACAAGTGCGAGTGATGTATGTTTATGAACGTTTACAAGAATAATGATTGTAGTAAATACAAATATCGATTAGAAATTTGATCTTCTTACTAAGGCCCCGGAATGTCTAGTAGACTCTGGGAAAGACAAATCATACAGCACTGCGAATGATTCCTTTTCTAATAGACCTAAAAGACTAATACATACATTAACAAACAAAAGAAGGTAAAGTTAGGCAATCCAGACGCTTAGTAACAGAAATCGATCTAATTACTCCAGTGCGCCGCGTAGGGCACCGATGATCTTCTATATGGCAGTCAACGTACTAAAATTACTACTACTGGTCGATGCCTCCAATGAACACTACGCTAACTCCAAATTCGTAGATTTACAGGAGGAGCGTTTAAACGAAAAAAGTTGATAAAATCTTTATTATTGCAGATATATTTATGGTTTTTTTGTGTAGTTAGCAGATTTACTCTTGCTTCGAACCCCATCAATAATGATTAAATGTAAAATAGTGAAGCGATGTGCGTGAAAAACGAAAATTAAAAAAGTTTGAGTTCGAGTAGTGTTCATTGGAAGCATCGCTGTAATAATACTGTTACAGCAATGTCTGTATTCGTTGATCTACACACCGACGTGATTAGTCCGATAAAATTGCATATAAAAACAACGAATTCGTGTTCCCGGTGAAGTTGTGAAAACCGCCCGATGCGGGTGAAACAAAAAGTTGTCAACACACACGTGTTTCGAATTTCGAAATTTCGAACAGATAGGGGGAACGTAACGGTCGCGAAGGGCGGCATCTGCTCTCGCTACCCCCGCGTGCGATATGCACCCTCCGCACTAAGCGACGCAAGCGAATACATTCCGCTTTAAGTGACCGGGTTGCTGTCATTCTGACAGATGTGTTACAATACGTATAAATTTACAACAGAGTTCAATCATTAAAAACCTAACAGGTTTAATATTAGCATTGTCTTAGGTTTTGGCGATCCATGAATAAAATTAAAACTGCTTTTACGGTGTCGCGTCGTTTACGTCGTGCGTAGCCTGGAAGTGGTGAGCGAGCAAGTGCTCAGCCAGAAGGAGCGGGATTTGTTAACAGCTACCCGAGCATCTCCAAGGGAGACTTAACAACTCAAGAGTATCTGCTTCGCGAATGGCGACCCGTGGAGAAGATCCGGCGAGAAACTCAACGGGTTGATGTTTAGCTTAGGTTGCACGTCGAACTCTGCAGAGTTCGATGAGTACGGTTACCGGGGTCTCTACTCCTACTGTTAAAGCGGAAGGCGTCTAATGCAAGGGTTATTGGATCTGATGGATCCGTACTGACGTGGTCGTACGTTATCACAAAAACTGTAAAGTATTTGAAACGATTAAACTGTAACACTAGTTTTAATTAGCATCAATGTTATTGTTTGAGTGCCGTTTAAAAATTAAAACTGTATGTAATTTTAGGACAGTTTTAGTATTGGTTGCCGTCGGATGAAGAGTAAATGACAGTTAAAAAATCAATACGCCAGCCGTTGGAGTGAATGTCCGCGAGGGTGAAGTACAAAGGGTGTTTGTTGCGCACGCGCCGTCGCCGCCGCCGGCCCGTTCGTTATTGCACACCCATTATCAATCACAACACAATGCAGACTTATTCTCTGCTGTTGCAGGGGTGACAATACCGATCGATATTTATGTTTTCGTTAAAGAGCAAAAAAAAATTTTTATTGCTTAGTTAGGACGAGCTCACAGCCCAACTGGTGTTAAGTGGTTACTGGAGCCTATAGACATCTACGACGTAAATGCGCCACCCACCTTGAGTTCTAAGGTTTAAAGTATAGTTACAGCGGCTGCCCCACCCTTCAAACCGAAACGCCTTACTGCTTCACGGCCGAAATAGGCAGGGTGGTGGTACCTACCCGCGCGGACTCACTAAAGATCCTACCACCGGTAAATGTTAGAATGAAGTTCAAGCCATCAGCAAAAAAATATCGCCAAGATGAGCTAACAATACAATGTAACATGAAACTATTGAATCGTTAGAAAGGGTTCTTTGAATGTTAGAGCGAATTGACCAAATGCAAACTACTGCAACAAAAAACCTGCAGCAAAAAATGCAACAATTTCTAATGTCGAATCTATAAGTGCATATTACGAGAAACCCCGCTGCCGAAGTCCACTTACTTTCCCATAATCCAAAACATTNAAGATGAGCTAACAATACAATGTAACATGAAACTATTGAATCGTTAGAAAGGGTTCTTTGAATGTTAGAGCGAATTGACCAAATGCAAACTACTGCAACAAAAAACCTGCAGCAAAAAATGCAACAATTTCTAATGTCGAATCTATAAGTGCATATTACGAGAAACCCCGCTGCCGAAGTCCACTTACTTTCCCATAATCCAAAACATTGGAAAGTTCAACGACACTAGAAGAGGTGTAATTACGCACAGTTATAGAAATTAGAAGGGAAATAAGGAATTGGGTGACCGGGTTTTCTTAGACCCCCTGCACACATAATACGGTTGGTCAGTTTCAGACAATAAAAATCGTGACCCTTAAACGGTTCTTAGGAAGTGCATAGATTTACATCTGCCGAAACGTAACGCGTATTGGAGAGCATTTGAAATAATTTGAATATCGTAGTTGTCAAATATTACTGGCGGGGAGCAAGTACAAGGGGACCATTTTTTTTCGTTAAGGTTTTTAACTCCGCTATGTATTTATATAACAAATATAAGGTGAGATTTTTTTGTTTGAATGAAATCATAGATTTCCACACATTGGGAAATTTTATTTTTAAATTGACCACCTCGAAGTTTCGATACAGTGTTATTAACTCCGCCAAAAATAACCGCAGAACGCACGCTGAGTTTGCCATTTAAGTTATTAAAAAGGTAAAATATGAAATATGTGTCCGTTGTTCTTTTTTTTTGTAAATTCTAAAGACAGATTATTGAAAAATTTTATTTTACATGGTAAATTATTTTTATAAACATTTTCCCAAGTTTTTTTTTCAAATATTCTTTAATCGTGGCCATTTTCATATTTACCTATTCAGTATAAAAGTTTATCGAGGAATTTGCAAATTAAAAAAAAGTCTATGAGACCGTAACTTTTCGGTTGAGCTGAAAAAAATATTTGCCAATGTGTACGTCTTTATCTTCTGTTTACCAGTTCAGCCGCAGATGTCAAAATGTATAAAATGGGACACGTGTGGGAGGCTCGTAATATATCTCACTCGGAGGCGTTGTATCAAAACAATGCGAATCTAGGTTAAATGGTACATGCGGTTTATTCATAATTTAATAATAAAGTAAACTGTTTTTTGTTTAAGTTCAAGTTACTCATTAGGGTCTGTGGTTTTGCGACGCCTACAAACATTATAATAATCAGTTAGATTTTTTTCTTCTAATTATCCCTTAAACTCGACGAAAGTTCATTCGAAATTACTCAAGAAAAGACTACAATTTTTTAATTACAGTGTTACAAATTATATAATGGGAGGTCTATAATTGGACCCTTTATGAAGTACGCGACACCTTGATGGAAAAAAAATCGAGAAACATCAAGTTACTTAGGGCAGTTTTTTACATCATCGTAATTGAAAATTAGAATGTGCCCGATTTGTTTTTGTTCGAAAGTTAATAATATTATTAATACCTGGCTATAGTGTGTATTACGTTATGTTTGTAAAGAGAACGTATAGAATATACGAGTTAGTGCCAAGACTATGCAACTGCCTATTTAAGAAACGCGCCGATGCGTCTGCCAGTGAAGACTTCATTGAGCATTGTACATTGTTACACGTAATCAATGCTTAAAACATATTAAATTAGATCAACCAGGTAATGAATTCGAATTCGGATCTTGTAATATCACACGAAAATGTCAAATCAAAGTGACATTGCATTCGTTATCGCCTTATCAGCAACACACTATGTTTTCTGAGCTAAGAAAAAATAAATAAATGTGCATGCATCTCTGTTTATCGGATTGAAACCGGTGAGCTCGAGATACTATTATACAGTTTGGCAGTTGTAACTGGCTGTTAATAAAAAATTACGAATGTGCTTAGATTAAAGTTATGTTACGTACCTGTTATTCTCTTTTGGGTCTTGGTGCTCTCTGGACTTGAAACTTTAGCCTCCTGGGTGGATGTATTCTGTTTCGGCATCGAGGTTGTGATCGGTGACCTTCTTAACGCTACCGGAACTGCAGACGCTGGTACTAATTGCCACGCGAATCTCTGAATGCCCGGTAAAGGTTGTTCATTTGCAAAATCGAAGCCCCATCTTTGACTGTCCAATTCCAATTGTCTCGCCAATTCTCTCTCAACGAATCTTCTATTCTCTTCTCTATCGGTACAGCCGAATAAATTCCTTCTGACACCATCGAGAGCGGTAACTCCGCGAACTCGAAGCGACCTAGTGTCCAGCACAGTCGTCGTGGCCTGTAGGCCGGGCGCCCTCACACTCAAAGCAGACATCTCAATAGAGTCCAAACAGCGAAACACAACACCGATTAACATCCACGACGTTGTCTTCACCTATCACAAACAAGGTCAGTTTCAATTTATCGCAAAACAATATTGGTTTAACTATTCAGATAAGGTATAGTCCATCCCGCACTAATAAGAAAACGTATTTATTGGTTTAGTGTAAACAAGTCGTAAATGACGCGGCAAGTCACGCGGTGACGTCGCACGTCCATACAACAGGAGTACGATCGCCAGTTTGTCGACGAACAAGAAAAAAATTACCAAGCTTGGGGCGATACTAGCGCCACGCACGCATTTCGATAGTTGCGAATGCAGCGCAAGCGTCGGTTTTGTTTAAGGACAGTAAATAGTACATTTTTCCTTCACTAGATGGCAATAGCTTCGAATAATTTTTTAGATGATGGAAAGTTCGACCTTGTTTTTTCCATTTACTAATAAGCTCCTCCACATTAAGCGGGCTTAATTAGGTATCTACTAATGAATATTGATATTTAGTTGTAAACAAAAATTATATTATAGTTTACAAACCTACTCACAAACACATTAAAACAACAAAATTTAATCATGCAAAGTTAAGAAAAATACTGACTATAAACATCATTATATAACACTTTTGCGTGTACACGTTTCAAGTAAATTATTGGTTAATAGTTTATTTAACTAATCTCTGTTGTGTTCTGGATAAGAGTAAGCAACGTAACGCAAAATCATGGCAACATTTTTGAATTAACTTGTTTACGACGAACGAGGACGTGTCTTGGTTACGTGTTGTTGCAGCATAATTCAATACCGCTTATCAGAAATATATCTATCTCTTTCGCGATGGTAAATAAACCTCAAGTGTGACAAGGATAGAAAATGTATTAATAGCACGGTAAAACTCGACGCCATTTTGCCAAAACTCGATTGACTAGATTTGAGTAGCGTCTATCTGGAAATTTTCATGTTAAAAACAAGAGTTATTTGTAAATTAATACTATTACATCGAAAATATTAATTTTGTCACAAGCTAGGTTCAATTAGTTCCGTGTTAGACTAACTGTCTCATTCAAATATTGCCAATAATATTGCGACATTTATTTCTCTTTCAGTTAAAAACTAAACAAAATTACGTGAAAATTTATGAAAACCTATAGCTAACTATTAAATACTGTTGGACACTCACCTTAAGGTATTTAATTATTATTACACGGAAAATCTTTGATTTGAAGACGGGGTTCATTCACTGCACTACCTTCGTACTAATTTTCAAGATACGACAATGACGCGTAGCCAGAGCGCGGGCTCGGTGCTGATTGGATAAAAATGGCGGCCATTTGTCCTATTGGCTAGCTAAAATTTAGGCGCCAAATTTCGGTTGGTCGAGACACCGGATGGCGGGAAATAAATGAGGTACTTTCCGGTGAGCCTGAGTTTGTATGGAAAATTGTTTGCCGCCGTTTGTTTCCGCGTACTCGCAACAAAAAAATAAGAAACGACGTTCATCGGAATATGCACCCGGTCCTTCAGTAGAGTGTTTCAGCATTATTTTTATAAATCCAGTTTTCGATTTTTAGCTTCTTCTATGCAGTAATTAACGACAAATTAATTGAGATTGTGTTCCTTAAATAGTTTATTTTATTTAGCGTATTGTTTCTTGTTGCATTTAACAAGATCAAACATGATATTTCATCAAGATATTTTATCAATGTATGAATTTTAAATTTATTATTCACCATACATTTTAAGAACTCGAACGGTTTTTTTCCGTTTATTGTTTCTACAATATTGTTTGATTGAATAAAAAAAGAAAATTAATTATAATAACATAGATCAATAACAAATTAAGAAAGTAACGTATCTTATTCTTCTGCATTTCCCGTAAAAACTATTGGCTTATTTTTTTACAAAGTAAACTTATTTTAAGATACTTTTTGACCTAAATAACGGAAATCAGTGCTGCAGGATTACACTATGGCTGCAATCACAAAAAATGTTTCCGTTTCAAACAGATGTTGCGTGAATGTTTGATGGTTTTCAAATACAGGATACACAAAAAATACTTTCCCTGCAGGTGCATACGATAATGAACAAGACATAGCGGTTTAGAGTCTATTTATAGAACTTGTTTTTTTATTTTTAAAGGGAATTTATTCTCAATTTAAATGTTCGAAAATTAATGACCTTACATAGGATTTTCGTATGTGTTATGTGTACCGGAAATCGATACGAGATAAGGAAACGTCAGTACGTTTTCGTGTATATCTTTTTTATATCATTTTTCAGAGCATTCAGAATATAATTTCTATCTTTAGAACATGACTAACGTCCTTGTCATTTGATTTTATGTATTGTGAATTGTATTGTTCATTTGACACAAAGGATCTTGATATCAGTTTTTCTGTGCAATACCTTCCAGCTCAAGCTTCCGTTTCCAGGTCTCAAGGGATGCTTTAAATTAGAGGCATAGACTATATGGACGCATAGAGTATTGCCCCAAACTTTATCTACTAACTAATCATGCGTCGATCCCACTTCGTGGAAAGTGGACAAGAAAAAGATTATCTTTTATGTATGTCTCGTGCACTAGGCGCTCGAATCTGTATTACCGACCTGCCTATTTCTGTCGTAAAGCAATCATGCGTTCCGGTTTGAAGAGTGGGACATTTTTACAATTATGACTGCGACCTTATATCTCAAGGTAATGACGTCATTTATAAGTTGGAGTCTTCGCGCTACGTTAAACATTTTATGCAACAGTATGGCGTACGTTAGATCACCCATTTATGCTTTTTATTTTTTATTGCCCAGATGGGTGGACGAGCTCACAGTCCACCTGGTCTTAAGTGGTTACTGGAGCCCATAGACATCTACGACGTAAATGCGCCACCCACCTTGAGATATAAGTTCTAAGGTCTCAGTATAGTTACAACGGCTGCCCACCCTTCAAACCGAAACGCATTACTGCTTCACGGCAGAAATAGGCGGGGTGGTGGTACCTACCCGCGCGGACTCACAATAGGTCCTACTACCAGTAATTGTGGTCATTAGGCGACAAACGTCCCCTAAATATGGCCAATTTCTGCAATAAAAATATTAGTTTGAAATTTTTCGAGGCCACGTTATTGTGACTGATATTATCTGTCGTCAATGTAACGTGTGGCAATGCTCTGTTTTCATGAATACTTCGGCTTGCATAAACACATTTGCGAGTTGTTTGTTCGACATGTTGACAGATATGCCATTAAAAATGACATTACAAGCCGCCAAATATTGATAGTTGAGATTGTACATGGAATGTCATGTGTCTTTTTAAAGCCTTTTTTTTTGCAGATAAAATGGATGCATCTTATTTATGAAACTGCCTGGTTTGTGGCACTGTCTGCCAGATGGTCATTTGATTACATGATTGGTTTCTGTTTTATTTTATATTGATGAAGTTTTCATGGCCTAAATGTAAAGATACCTGGTGTACTTATATTGTTTTCATAATCATAGTGTACTCATGTTATTGTTTTTCAAACCCCGCAACTGTCTTCACCATTTTTTGATGTGAAACATCTACAGCATAACGTAAAATAGATTGCTATATACTCGTATACCTACAGACTATATGTAGTAGTGTGTACAGAAACTGTTTATTATAATTAATATTTTATTTTTCATTATGCCACATGAATTTCCTGTCGTAAACGATTCCTTAATGCATTTTTTTTAATTGCCCTTGTAGGCAGACGAGCCCACCCGATGATAAGTGGTTACCGTCGCCCATGGACTTCAGCAGTGCCAGGAACAGAGCCAAGCCGCTGCCTACCTATGGCTGTACAAAATAATATCAATGTTTCACATCTGCCAAACATCTCGCGATGGCTCATTTTTTAAATGTAACATGTATGTACTTTGCATATGTTCACGAATGATCTCGACGATGAAGGAATAGAAATTAAATCTGCATAGATTATAGTGATAGGGCGTATTTATATTGCCTGTTCATCAGTTTATGCAATAGACAACGAAAATTTAAAATTAGAAGGGTTGCAAGAATAGAATATCCGAAATAGACTGCGAAGTGTTCAATATGTAGTCGTCTTATTTTTATCATCGTGACCCCCTCTCCTCTCCCCCGACCGGAGCAGAGCTTTTTCTGACTACCTGGAACCATTACCTACATCAACAATGACTGAGTACTATGAACCTGAGTGCAAGTCCTTCTCTTAACAAGCTCCGAAATCCCTTGCTTCAATCATGAGCGATGATTTAAAAAAAAACCTGAAAAATATTCACAAACCATGGACATAAAACAACAATGATTTGAGTGATATCTTTTAAAATTTCCAGAAAACGGCGAATTGAATAAACTCTTCGAAACACAAAGAACCGTTAATACTATAACAACACTTCGGTTATTAGAAATTACTATGAGACGCTTAAAAAAAAATTAAGACCACGTATCAAAGTTTTGACAGAAGAAAAAAATAATGGAGCAAAAAGCGTGAAACACCCGGTGACCGCATTTTCAGATGTTATGTTTTTACGAGAATTTGCTTGGATTAAAGATCTCTTTTTTGCTGTAGTTTCGTGGTAACTTTTTGCTGCGATACACAGACTAGCTGACGGCACTGCATTTTATGAAAAATAAGTAAAAGAACAATATATCGTCTTGAACTCAATTTTATAAGAACTCCTTTTTTCTCTTTCGTTCGCAGAAGAGGTAGTAGAGGGAGTAGGGCAGAGTAGATGCCATTAACGCTGTTAACGAATTGACAAGAAGTTGTCAAGTGTACGAGAGATTCGTGCCCCGTGATTTTTTGTTGCTTTAGTCGCATGGAAGACCTCATGACCTGATATTAGTTACTGGAGCCGGTAGTCAGCATGCGACCACTGTACATGCTGCCATCCGCCTTCTCGATCATATTCGTTTAGATCAGCTTGAAGTCTAATTGTATTGCAAATCGACAGTCTCGCCCTTCAAACTGGACCGCAAAGCTGGTACCGGTGGTTTCTGACGTGCGAACTCACAATGCGCCTACCACCAGCAAACCACAAAGTAACTTAGAAAGCACTGGTACCCATTCTGCAGTGAATCCTCTATTCCCTTTTTACAACATTAAGGGGACGAAAAGTTCTAGTGGCATTTTAATGTCTTCATAAAAATGAAGTCATAATTGTCTGTGGGTACAAGTTAGATTAACATTAGTTTTTTGTGAGATGATATGAAATTTAGATGAAAGAAAGAACAATATTTTCTTGGGCTAAAATGATGTGACCCATTATAAATGCATCGCGCAATTCTTGGTGAGGACGCTTACAGATTGGACTTCAAGCACCGGTCACCGTTCTCGCCTAACCCATCGCTTGCGACGAAGGGCTCGACGAGTAACTTAACCCATAGACACAGCCCACTGAGTTTCTCACCGGATATTCTCAGTGGGTCGCGTTTCCGATCTGGTCGTAGATTCTGCGAAAAACTGCTCTTGCTAGGGCCAGTATTAGCAACACTACCCGTTTGAGCCCCGTGAACCCACCTGCTCGGTAGGGCGAAACTGAAATAGCCTCTCAAGGCTATCAGCATAGGTAGGGGAAAAAAATACAGATTGGCATCGGCACAGAAGCAAAATTAATTTTGCTCATGAACAAAAGAAATTACATCTTTTTAAACAATCGCATTTTTTACGATTGACATAATATATTAGTAATATAAAGTCTGGTAAAGGTCCAAGAAATCACAGTGCAGGACCAATCGATGTGGCGAATCCTCGGAATGGTTTATACCCAGCATTGGATGTCTTTCGGGGGATGATGATGATGCATGTACACGTTTCAATTCACATTTAATATGCAAGCACAAGATTTCGGGCAATCAATTCGTCCTGTAACATCCTTCGAATGGAATTCCCTAGAAACACGAGGCCGCGCCAAATAGCCGTGTAATTACATCGTGACTTGATCGACATACTATCGTTTCGACAAGTGTTCGAAATTTTATTATTTTTATGTATTTTATATCCGTGTTAATCGAACAGTGGATTCGTACAACTCGACTTATGAAGAAGATCAGAGTAATTATTTAAATTAATATTATAAAGAGGAAAGATTTGTTTGTTTGTTTGTATTGAATAGGCTCCTAAGCTACTGAACCGATTTGAAAAATTCTTTCACTGTTTGGAAGCTACATTATTTAAAAAAAAAAAATAGGGATCCTTACTAAAACTTTTTTTTTTGTTGCTTAGATGGGTGGACGAGCTCACAGCCCACCTGGTCACAAATAAAATGTCTAAAATATATTTGGTAGGC